TCTGCAATGACAATGCAAAAAATGACATCGACAGGAAGGAAGTGCTTGCTGTTAATGTTAATACACCCCGTCATTTTTGCAATTGGAATTTTGAAGCGTTGACGGCGAACACCTACAACGAATTCCACTGGAAACATTGCTGCCAAAGTGTGTTGCTTCCTTCTATATATATCTGCTGGGACTTCATCTCTTGGCTAGATTAATGAACAGTCTGTTAAATAGAGTGGCGATTGTTGCTCGTGCATATTCTCTTAGAGAGACCATAAACAATATTAATAGCATTCAAAGTTCTCTCTTTAAGTATCTTTAAGGCAAATCAAGCGTACCGTCCACAAACAACTTGATTTTTCACTAAGTCTTTGTGCACTTACATACAAGATACAAGTTATAGTACAAAATGTTCAATGTGAAGAAAAATAGTGAAATTAATGTTAACATCAATATGCGCATCAAGGCTGAATGTTGAATTCCTAAGAAGTCCAATCATATGTGTGCAATTGAAATACGCTTGTGGGCTGATTTACTAGTTTGTCACAAAATGCATAACGCAAAGCTGAAGTATTTTTATTTACTTTTTCTTTAAAGTTTGCTACCCATCCACACAATTTATTGATATTAAATTTGTTTAGATTAATTTTCATAATGGCGTGGACATTCTTCTTTCCCATGAGCTTATGACAAGACAACATCGTAGTCTTATACTTAGGAATAATTGGTCAAATAATAAGATTTTTCTATGGAAAACTTTTCTGTTTTTCAAAATTAAAACTTTGACATAAAACCATTCCTTATTAAATGTATATGTATTAACATATGCCTTTGATCCACACTCGCTTAGAATATTTTATGCTTTTAGCCATTCGATAAGTCCATTTGTTAGTTGAATCTCAAAGTATTATAGTTATGGGTTAGACAGCTAAGCAGTATTTAATCATTGGCTTTGTGATTGTTACAGTTTGTTGCATGACTAGAGTAAAAAAAAAAAGATTAACAGTCAAACAACAACAAAGTGCAGCATAAAATTGTGTGGAATGTGATTTTGCCATTTGTCTCTGAGCTTGTCGCTGCTCTTTTCTCTCAGAGTTCCGTTGATTTCTTGGCTTGTCTCTCAGCTAAGGTTTCGTTATTCATTTGCTCAAATTTCGTCGTTTTTTGCGTCAAATGACATCGACACAAATATACACATACACACACGCTCACACACACACACACACATACACACTTATTTGACATGTGGCGACATTCAAATTTCAAGCTTCACAAAATATTTGAACGACTGGACAGAGTTTCAATTCAAAATTATTTCAGGGTAGAAACAATTCTTGGAAAATTCACTGCACTCCCGAAAATTTTGATTACGTTCGGACCGCGAAATGCATTTTCCAACTATAATTTTCATAATCCCATAATCATGTGCCATAGACATAGCGTATATTGCGAATATCACGCATACGCCTCATGCACCCATGCATAATGCATTATCAAAATGCATTATCAAAATGCATCGTCGCCTCCGAATCGGGCAAACAAACGAATTCGCTACTGAATTCGGTTTGGGGCATATTAAAGCAAGTTTTCATCCCAGAGGCAACACCTAACTAACAATCGACCAGACCATCAACTTGATTAAGACGATTAACACAAAAACGCTCATTACCAGAGCACGACTTGTTACCGTCACATATGGCATATGCAAGATGAAAGACATCAAGTCCCCTCTGGAATGCTAAACAGTTGGTTAAATCGCCACTAAGCAAATATATATGCAGTAGACTTTGGGATTTAATTTACACGCTTTTGACATTCTCAAAATCAGCTTTAATCTTGGCAAACACAAATTCTATGTTGTATAGCAGTAACAAAGCGTTTGGAAAGCTTTTAAAGGCATCAGTTTTAACAGTTAATTAAAGCTTTTCAGATTGAGATTAATTTCAAGTTGTGGTTAAGTTGAATAAGTCTTTAGCTGGAACTAAAATTTCATTGCCACTAAAAGCACATTAAATCTTGTAAGCCAGCTTAATATTATGCCAGAGTGACCAAAGATATAAGCAGTAGGTCTTGGAATTTAATATGCACATCCACATATGATAGGAGATATTTGCTTTAATCTTGGCAAATACAGTTTCTATACTATTGTTTTTTAAAACAGCTTTTAGAAAGCTTCTTAAAAACATCTTAACTGTAAATGTTAGATTTTCAGCTTAAGATTAATTGCATTAGCTTAGCTAATTTACACAAGACAAGCTGAAACTTAAATTTCATTGCCACTAAAAGCTTATTAAAGCTTTAAGTGAACTTAATTATACAATATTTTATTGCAACAAAATTCACAATCAATCAAGAAGCTGAGAAATTCTATAAATATTCTATTAAATTAAATTAAGTTAAAAAATAAATTAAATTAAAAATTTAATTAATTTTAAAAAATTTTAGAGCAGAGAGAGTACGCTTTTGACTAACAATGATCAAATGTTTGTTAAATTCATAACATTTTCTTCACATTTGTCAAGATGGCGCTTAAAGAGCATGTCAAAGAGCATGTCAAATTAGCAATGATCCTTAACCAGCTGGCAGACTCTAGTATATAATTTTCTGCCTGTGTTATTATAAGTGGCGGTTGCCGGACTGCATCTGACGTCCGGCATCTGAGCTGTTTTCATTTGCAAAAGCATTTAGATTAACTGCAGAGTCCACAGCAACAACCAACATTCATATATTACCTATTGATAATCATCATCATCATCATTATCATTCCCATAATAATCATCTCATTTCCAATTTCGACTGTTGTTTCAATTTATTTGCTGCCCGCGCGCACTCGCTGATTGGCGCTGTGCAAGTGTCATTGGGCATAGCTATCTCTTACTTGCTCGCTCGCTCTCTCTCTCTCTCTCTCTCTCTCTCTCTCTCTCTCTCTCTCTCTCTCTCTCTCTCTTTCTCTTGAGTGGTGCGTGTGTACGCGCTTCAGGTCTGTGGTTGGGCGCCTCGCTTCAAGCGGAAGCGCAACAGTAATGATGCTGTTAATGTACATTATTCTCGCAGATTATCATTGCTATGCTTATTATGCTGATTATGTTTCACTGTATTACACACGCATGCACACACACATACACACACACACACACACACTCACAGACACACACACACACACAACCTTAACCTCTCTCCCACTGAGGCCATTGTTTAATATTTAATTTCACAGTGGAATTTACAGTTTGCAAAATACAATTATGTCATTTAATAAAAGTTAACAATTAAAGAGCAAGTATTCATTATTGAACAATAAGAACAGAAGTAAAAAATATACAATACCCTTGCATATGCATAGCAAAAGTTAAGATATGTTTATTATATGCACACACAATTGTATTTTCTAGATAAACACCCAATTTTCGGCTCACTGTTTGAGTGGGTGCTACATAATATAGTAGCCTGATATTAACTAATTGCTGCTAACGTAAGTTGAATAGCTCGTAGCTGCTGAGTTTGGTTAAGATATTCGGAAGAATATACAGTTTTGCACACATAAACATATCATCTTGTACAGATTATAATGATCCTTAGACGTGTTGATGTTTCACAGACTAGTTTGTACAATAAGTGTAGATGGGTATCTTATGCAGCCGAAGAAGTCTTCTTATGATACATGTTAAACAACTTTATTGTAAAGGTGTAGGAAGATGTTAACCAAGCGATGCTTTTGACAATTATATACTAATGAAATGTTTTGTTGACGGCATTAATCAAAGTTAATCAAATCAAATCGATGCATATCACATACATACATGCTTAATTAGCAAACGCACAGACTGCATTGCCTTTGAAAGAATATATTTTTGAACAAAAACATACCAAAAAGTGTAAAATTCGTTTGATCCCTTTTTGTTAATACGAATATGAATACATTTTCAAATGCAAGTTGTTCATACAGCGCCTTCGGCTGGGGGATGTTTCCAAAACTGTACATATAATATATCTATCCATATGTCTTGAAATGTGGAAATGGGAGAAGATATCGAGAAAAACAAAATCATAAACTAGTTCCGCGTTTCGTATACGAGATATATATATTTCAATAATTAGATCTCTAGATTTTGTAGATGGCCAGCCAGACATGGCTAGATGGACTCTACGAGAGGTCGGCGAAGCTTCCTTCTGCCTGTTATGTAACACTTGTACAAAACACGTTCAATGGGTTCTGATAACAAAAGAAATTACTATAGTATACAAAATGCACCAGTTTTTGGTACATTTGTACCACTGTGGCAACCGTGGGCATATACCAAAAGCACAGCACAGATTCAGAGCAACATCAGAAACAAAAAAAACATGAACTGGAACGGCGGCACAAGCAAACCAAACCGACCAGACCAGACCAGCTGCCGCCGCCGCTATTGACGTTGCGACGTTGGCGTTGACTTTGACGTTGACGTCGACAGTGGCGCCGACGCTGACGTCGACGGCGACGTCGTGCGAAATTTATCACCCAACAGATTCTTGAACTCGACGGGCCGTAAGGTCGACAACTTGGCCTGCTAACGGCTGCTACCTGCTACCTGTCACCCGTTACTGTAAACCCCAGGCCCCCACCCCTCTCGTTACCTGCTAGCCCCTCTCGCAAGCTTTGCATGACTGATTGTTTGATTAATGTCTCGGCCCAGGCCATGTGCATTCACTAATCTCCTGGTGTGGTTTTTTTCGTTCTGTGTGTTTTACAGCCATGTGGCGGCGATGAGGCAGACAGCAGCTGGGAATATGCCGTGCCACTTGTTGCACGCCGCTTCCTTGCAGCAACAGCAACGACAGCAGCAACGAACTCGCATCAAATATCCTGCATATTACTCATACGCCATGTGCCGCCAGGATGCTACCGTAGCATGTTGCACCAGCAGCAGCAGGAGCTGCCACCGCTTGTGGCTAAGACGTGCTGACTAATTGAACTATCAATAAAGCAACAACAGTAACTACCACAGCAACAACAACAACAACAACAACAACAATAACTTTAAGCAGCATCAACAACAACAACAGCAACAAGAAGCAAGCGAACAAAGTTGCCCGCCACACAACGCAAAATGTCTGAGGTAAGTTTGGTAATAAATTTTGTGGCAGTTGCAACTATCTTGGGGCATACAATTTATACTAATGAATTTAAAATCGAGTTTCCCAGTCCTTATAACCAAAAACAACTTGGAATCAAAATATGCACTTAAAGGCAACAAGAAAGTGCGTGTGCGAGCGAGAAAGCCAATGTATAAACCACGGCAAGATGATGAACTTAATGAAAGCAAAAGTTACAAAATTCAATTTCATCAAGTAATTTATTTTGCGCCTAGAAAGCGAAAGTCTGCATTTACATTTTTGGCTGGCCCGAAAATTAAATAAAATACGTATGCAGCTTTTATAATTTTAATGCCAGGCTCAACAAATTTATATATTTTATCACCTAGTCTCACCTGATTTTGACTGTATTGCGCTCTTTGACAATTTTCTTACATGTTTTGCACTACAAATTTCAAGTGCAAATTAATTAATAATAATTGAAACACTTGTCAAAATAGCTTTCATATAATTATAATACATAATTTAGCCGTCAGGCTAAATTTACAAAATCTAAATTTTAGTAAATTACTCAATTACTCTCATGGAGTATAACTCCATGTTGAGCTGAAGTCCGTCAAGATAGACATTTTTCAGAAAGACTCAAATGTTTCCGTAGAAAGACTTCCTTATTACATCTTAACAATGATATGTTAAATACGATATATGGCTGGATGTATATACATATATGCACGAAGTAAAAGATAATTTTACCTAGAGCCTGGTTATCTTAAATGGCTGAATAATTGGCGATCAATCCACAGCCCAGTTTGAAAAAGCTGCATTTTTTATTTGAGAGTCACGGCAAATTGTTATTTATCATCCGATCGGCGTTGAACTTATTTTCAAATATCTTTCTCAGCATTTATTCATGAAGTATTTCACAGTGCTCGGAAAATTCACATATATACACATTCGTTTAAATTGAAGTTCAAGATTGAATAAGTAAAAGAAAATCAATTGTTTGATCGAATTTTAATTCAGTTTTCTCAAACTTTCTTTTAATCTTGTTAGGATAAATATAAATTTTCTAAGGGAGGCAAATGTGTGGAAAATCGTTTGAAACTAGTTTGGCTCTGACCATTTTTTATACCCTGAACCCATTAAAAATGGGTATAAGGGTATATTGTATTTGTGCAAAATCCAAATGTATGTAACAGGCAGAAGGAAGCATCTCCGACCCCATAAAGTATATATATTCTTGACCAGCACTAGTAGCCGAGTCGATCTAGCCATGTCCGCCTGTCTGTCCGTCCGTCCGTATGTATGAACGCAAGGATCTCAGAACCTATAAGAGCTAGAGACTGAAATGTTAGATGTAGGTGCTCCTAGTGCCTGCGCAGATCGAGTTCGTTTCCGATAATCGATAACTTACTTCGTTTCCAAGCAATCGATAAAAATCGATATCGATATCCTGTTTTTTGGGCAATTTTGGTAAATAATAAGAGCTAGAGTCATCAAACTTGACATATAGCTTCTAAAATAGAATATATATATGCATTTGATGTTGGAAGAAGAGGGTTCAGGGTATCGCCTAGTCGGGAGCTCCCGACTAGAACCTCTCACTTGTTTCAATTGTTTTAGGCGCTAGACTTACTTTTTATTTGCGAACACTTTGTGTTAGCCTAAAATAGTTACTGAAGTTATTTCGAATATTTCTAATATAAGTATAAGAAAACATTGAGTAGAAAACAAATACTTGAAGTTTGAGTCATTTTTGTCCAGTTGCAAGTAGTAGAGCTCTTCCCACTGAACGAGAACAATAACAAGGGAAACAACAACAATATGTTGAGGGCTGCCTGGTAGAATTTGTCTTTCTTGGGTCCCGCATAAGCATTTGAATTTTGGGTCAGTGACGTCGTCGTCTCATGTCTCATGTTTATGTATGGGATACACTCACACACGCATGCACTCACGCGCTCTCATCTAGTGAGAAAGGGAGAGAGGGAGAGGGAAGAAGTAAACAGAGGCGCCTTTACCTTTACGAACAGCTGTTGCCACACCGTGTCACAAATATTGACCTAATTTGCAGCTGTTTACAAATTCATTTGGCTACCGTGTGGCCCACATCGCATATCCTGGCATCCTGTGGGGCAGGACTTTGCGTTTTTGGCGCATGATTTATGCAGCACCGCGAAGCCCTCTGCCAGTTGCCAGTTGCCAGTCGCCAGTTTGCCGTTGGCTGTTGCCAGCGCTAGTTTAAAGTGGGTCAAACCAGTCCACGTCCCAGGCAGCGTGCCCCACTCAATCCAGTGGCAATCCACAGGATGTTTGCGGTAGCTCCAGGCTAGCGGGGATCGCCAGCCTGGCGGGCCAGCGTAAAGGCGGGTCAGTTATGAACACATTGCTGGCATTCCCTTGTTAAACAAATTTACATTTTCATGCGCTAACGGAGCAGCCAGTACTGGACACTGGCGAAACGCCACACGCGACCGCCAAGTTGTAGAAACCCAAAAGTGAGCGGTATATACGAAAAACACAATCAACAGACTTTCAATTATATATTATACATCAGTATTACAGCTAGATAAATATACTGATAGGGTCTTATCATATAATTCTAGCTGTATTTCACATAAAAGAACTTTTTAGGTATATGAAAACTCGCCAACAGCTTAGGAACACCAAGCGACATATAGATAGTCCAGTCGTAGCCATTCAAGCGATTGCCACTATTTTGGTCAAGATAACGGACAAAATATATATCAAATTTCATGAAAGAGTTTTTTTTTCGATATATTCTTTCTTAGAACCAAGGCTGCAAACCCGTTTTGAGCCGAACCGGTTTGAATCTGATATATCACTTTTTTATTTACTAAGAACTGAACCATAAATCGGGTTATTTGTGCAAGAAACAGCCGAGTCTTCGCCTAAACCGATTCATTTTTTCAAAAAAATTTATTTGCATTTATTAAATTGCTTTCAGAATAGTTACATGACGCGAACAATTAAAGATTAGCTAATTTTTGGTAAATAAAAACATGAATGTATAAAAAATTCATTTTCTTCAAACCTTGAATTAATTATGCAACTTAGGTCAGGATATCTGTTCTAAGGAATGTTTCTATAGATATTCCCATTCAGATAAGTTGCTGCTCATTCATGTGGAAACTGACAGCGAGGCATTGGTTCGAACCGTGAACTGAACCTCCAAACAATTCGTTTGGGCTAAGAATATTGCAATTGGAGCTTCCCAAAACTGCACTTCGCGGTTCTCAGAGAAATTACAGCTTAAAGACGGGGCCAACTCGTTCAATTGGGCTAAATTCTTAAAGATTCAAAAATGCGCGAAAATTGCAATGTTCACTTTGAAGAGAAAAAAGCGACTAGGGAATACCCTGAACCCTCTTATTCCAACACCAAATGCAGCTCACACAACGCGCCCGTTTAAAGTAATATAGATAAATTAAAAAAAAAATTTTCCCTTGGCAGGGTTCGAACTCGCACCATAGAATTTTTGTGTGTTCTCAAAAAGTCAATTGCATTTAAATTGTGGCTTAAATGGGTGGACAATATTAGTTGGGTCATTTCCTTGATTTATAGCTCTGCGTTGGTAGCGGGGAGGTGGCGATAGGTATAAAATGAAATATTCTTGATGTATATATAATATTCTAGAATCAAAATATCAAGTTTGGTGACTCTAGCTCTTAATATTTACCCAATTTGCTCAAAGAACAGTATGTCGATATCGATTGGATCGGAGATGCTTCTTTTTGCCTGTTACATATATTTGCACAAATATATTATACCCTTTTTACTCATTTTCAATGGGTTCAGGGTATAAAAACAAAATTCCCATAAAATTGTGATTGCCTCAAAGTAGTGGAGAACTCGGATTTCCAGAGTCTTAACTGCCAAGCAACCACGTCATTCAGTGGGCAGAATTGAATCTGGGATAAATGCTTCTTTGAAAATAAAAGATTTACAAATAGAGCCAGGCAAAGATAATATCCTGGGTGTAAGGATTACGTAAGGGTAAGGGACCTAACGACAACACCAAGCTTAAACAAAGATGACTGCTCTAGTCGGGAGTGTTTGACTAGGAGATTCCCTAAAATTCTCGATGAGCTGCCATCAAACGCATTCGAGCTTTCTGCTACACAGTTTAAGCTGCGACTGTGTTTCATATCCATATATCATATCAAATGTATGAAAAGCGTAAGGCGCAAACTTAGTTTATAAAAAATTAGTTTGTTAAAAATTTTACGGAAAACAAGGGAATGGAACAACTAATATGCATTGTAAATTGAATGCCTCCCGTTCTTATGAATTCCGAGATAATTTGTATCGTGTTCATAGAAACGGGCAAGCTTTTGCGTGCAGCGTGGGCACTAGGAGGACCTACATTCATAATTTCAAGTCCTGATCTCTTCTGGTTGGCGACTCGTTCATACATACGAACAGATGGTTGGACAGACAGACAGTCATGACTCAATCGACTCCGTTCTTGATGCTGACCAGGAATATATTGAGTGAATAGCATAGAAGATACCTCCTTCTGCCTGTTACAGACATACGCTCAAAAGCACTATACCTTTCTTTAACCATTTTCAATGAATTGAGTGTAAAAAAAGAAAACAGAAAATGTTGTTTATAATTTAACGAAAACATTATGTGGTGAATAATGCAAATTGGCGTAAGAACACAATAGAGAAAGAAACAAAATAGCTTGGCAGCAAGCTTGTAAATACTTTAAGTTTAATCTTGGACTTAAGAGCTGTAGTAACATTGTTCACAAAAGAGCTCAACAGTTGCTGTTGGCTTTAAGTATTTGTGCATATGGGAACATATGTATACACAACCCAAACAACAAAAGAAATGGCAAACCAAATAAAATGTGCAGATAAATTGCAATTGGCAACAGAACGTCAAATGGCAGATAACCGAGCCGAATGGAAACCCATAGAGTCAGTGGTTTTTCACTTTTATCTCCGAAGTCTCCGCAAAGCAAAAAAGCAGCTCATAATAAAATCCACAATGCTTT